ACTGGGCGGGTCTCCAATCCTGAGTGTCTAGGGCCTTCTCTTGCGTTTCCTCAAGCCAGGCCCCGCTCACCTGTGACGCTCACCACAATACTGGCTACACGCCAGGTCTGCTCCTCCCGGGAGCCCTATTTTCATGGACGACTGGGCACACTCTCCCTGCTTGCCCTTCCCTCAGACCCTAAGGTTGTGGAGCTTGGGGCTGAGAACCCTCAGCGAATTTTGCTTGCCCTCTGGTAGCCACACCCCCGTAGCTGGTGCAAGAGACCTCAGTTGTCAGCATTGGTGGGAGCGGTAGCCGGGAGTTCCGTGCCGTGGGTCCCACACGACTCCTGATTCCCTCGGTTTGGCTATCGCGCTCATGGGAGAGCTGGGAGGGGCCCTTAAGGTTTCCCCGCTGGGGGAGAGGGAAGGCTAGGGGGTTACACACCTGTCGCCGCTGGTTTCAATGAAGTTATCTCCTCTGCCACATTCTGGTGACGTCAGTTCTCTGCCATGGTGGTATCCCATGCAAATGGTGACAGTTTGTTTCCTTTGCTGGGTGACCAATGCAACGGGTACGTCCTGACTGGCTCTCCCAATCCCCATTTCAATCAATTTCAGTGGCCACTGCCTATGAAGGCTCGGTTGGCTTTAACCTCCGTAGGTTCAGAAGGGCCGACCAGTTGTTTCAGCGTGATCGTTTAGTGCTGAGGCCCAGCAGTTTGTCTGCGGGAAGCAGGCGAACGGGAGCTTGAATTCAGCCGATCCGGGCTAGGTGTGTATTCTGAGAGGCCCAGACTGTTCACCCCAGATCCTCGTCAGCTCAGCATTGCCTAGTGATCCTGAGCAAACAGCATTTAGACGGTTTACGACTCCCTATGCCCGCGCAGCTGAAGAGGTCAGAGACTTGATCTCTCCGCACCCGCCGCCATGTTCAGCAAGTTTGTTATTGATAAATAAAAATGCTATTGACTTTCACATGTTGATTTTGCTTGCTGCAACCTGGAGTTGTTTTGTCAGTTCTCATAGCCTTTAAGTGGAAATTCCCCCTTTAATTTTTCTTAGATAATAAGATAAAAACTTAAGTTCCTATCCAACTGAACATAAATTTTGTGTTAACTTGGTCATTTTTTCCCCAAAACTTATTTCTTCATATTAAGGGGAAAAAAAACCAGGTTTAATTACCTTCAGTGTTGTACACAATTAGAAAATGGAAACATGACTCTGATACATTTTCTAGACACAGATAAGAATAGCTAATTTTATTTTGTTCTAAGATGAAGAGGTTTGAGATATTGTCCTGATTTGAAAATAGCATGTCACATAGTGACGATAACATAGAGTGCTGTTGTTTATTGATAAGCCTTCAGGTGTCTTCTTTTCAATGAGAATAAAATGGAATACATCTCAGGAAGGAGAGAATTATATTTCACTCCTTGTTCATTCTCACTGTGGAGAATTCAAGTATTTTTAAAACCCATGGTATGGTACATTTTAAGTATCATTCCTAAAATTTAAAGGCTGTCATGAACTCTACCCAATGTTGAATAGCATTGTATTTGAAATTTTTTTCTATTTCTATGTAGAGTACTATCAAGTTGAATATGCCAAATATGATAGTGCTTCCAATAATTAAATCTGGAAGCTATTTTTGTTTGTTTTATATATTTGCTATGTCCTTAACAATTACTATAAAAATGGCCAATTTTGCTAAGGAGATCGGAGCACAATGCATCAGTATAAACTTAATACAAGTATACGTGAGCAAATTTATTTAATTCTTCTTTCTACGATTTAAATTACCTTCATTTAATTTTCAGATTACTCTTAAAGTATTAGAAGAAGTATAGGTTTTATCCAAAGCATTGTTCACTGCCCATAGAAATACAGATGCACATATGTATGTATACATCATGTTTAATGAGACAAACACCCAGAGAAAACAAAATAAAAATTCCCTACACAATTACCAAATTTAAAAATGTAACAGCTTTCCATAATTTTTACACACTGTAAACTACATTCATGTTAAGTGTGTAAATTCCATACCATAAACTCATCCTCTCAAAGCCTATACTTCAGTGTTGGGCAGTCATCTCCACCCTTCAGTTTACAATGTCTCCTTCTGTCCCAATAGATCACCCCTGCCCATGGCCGTTGGTCCCACATCAACCACAGCATTTGTCCATCTGCTTTCTGCATTTAAGTGTCCTTCCTCTGGACATGCTGTGTAAAGGGAATATACTTTGTCACCTTTCGTGTCTGGCTCCTTCTCCTGGTCTGTGCTGTTGAGGTTCCTGGATGTCACAGCACCTGTGGGTGCTGGTTACTTTTTATTCCCTGAATTGCTGTGCATTGTACGGACATGCAGTACCATTTTTGTGGGTTTCAATAGCCAACTTGTAAAAAAAAATATGTATTGAATAAACCAAATCAAGGTCAAAGGGATAGGAATAGGAGATTTTTTTAGTGCTTGTTATTTTATACGGTTTTAATTTTTGAAATTAAGGATCGTGTCTTATCTGTTAAAGCAAAGTGAAGAATGTGTATAAACAAGACAGTAAAGCCTTACACTGATCCAAATCCTGCCTTCCTTTAGAGAATTCCCATCAATTTATTTTAAGCATTATTCAAGAATATACATGCGCACATACACACATGCATGTAAATATACACATGCACACATAATGTGGGCATCAAAGCAGACATATGTTTTATATTAGAACAAAAGGAGAATGTGGAGCTTAGTATTTTAACACAGAAAGCAAAGCTAAGAAAAGCAAAGGGATTAATGAGCTAATCCACTCACAATGAAGAAAAGGGAAAATCTGTGGACTCCATTTGTTGGTTGCTATGTGCAAACTTGTTTTCATTTCTTAAAGGCCCCTCTGTGTTGTCTTGCAGGATACTTTGGATCTGCTTGTGAAGAGAAGGTGGACCCTTGTGCCTCGTCACCGTGCCAGAACAATGGCACCTGCTACGCAGACGGGGTGCACTTCACCTGCAGCTGCAGCCCAGGCTTCACGGGGTCCACCTGTGCCCAGCTCGTTGACTTCTGTGCCCTCAGCCCGTGTGCCCACGGCACGTGCCGCAGTGTGGGCACCAGCTACAAATGTCTCTGTGACCCAGGTTGGTGCCGCCCATAGACCACACACCTCTTCTTTCCTCAATCTCAAAAGACTGTTCGTTTTTCTTTTGCATCTGAGTAAATGTCGTCCCTCGGGATGTAAATAGAAGTAAATTCTACTCAATTATGGCACACTGTCGACTACATTAGGCAGGGCTTTAAAAATATCGTTTCCCCTTTTCATGACTGTTGCATGACCAATTCACATTCATTTCAGAAAACTTAGAATATTCACGAAAGCACCAATGGAGAAAATTAAAAGGCTTCATCTTATAACAGGGCAATTATTTTTAACAATTGCCTATAGGCCATTCCAGAGCTTTTAGTGTATGGTTTACCTTTTACTGTTGTGTGCTTAAATGGACAGAATAGGCTTTCCTATTTTAGTGTGTGCATGAAAAGTGAAATGTGCCATCTCTTAAAATTCTTACTCTGTGCATAGTCTGCTACCCTCTGACTTCCTGTATAAACGTTCAGAAGCTTTACCTTTTTATTGTATGAATGTCTTTTTTCATTTGTAATACCAATTTTTAATCATGGAAGTTTTGATACTCGGAGATCAGAGTGATTACTAGTTGCAATTTGTGTCTTTCCAACCTTCTGGTGTGGTCTGAAAAGAATTCATGGATTGCCCTTTCTTCTTTCTCGTTTCCATTCTGCCCACGTCTCCATTCTTGTATGAGCTAGCTTTTTAGAATGCTTCACACACACACACCCCTGACCAGGCAGCATGGCTGGTTTTGTTTGATTTGAGCTCTGCCATGTGCCTGGGATGCCTCACTGGGAAACCTCTGGGGCTGAGATTTCTTCTTCCGGGTTCCAGCCATCCCCCACGATATTACTTTTGCAGTTCTACACCATGAGGCAGTCCTGCACTGAAAATGACCTTTCTGTAAACAGAGGGCACATGCAATGGCATCCTGTCAGATGATGCATCCTCCTGGATCCTAGCTGTTTTAGCTTGTGCAGGGAACTACTCTGATGTCCAGATAGTGACAGACTCGCCACTCCTCAGCATGTATCCCATCCCTAAGTGACACATTACTGTATCGATTTTCCTTGCATGTGTCTCTCTTCCTTCAGGGGTGGAGGAAGTGTGCTTTCTTTTAACAGCTTTTGGCTCAACAAAAATGGTCCCAAACCACCCCCGAGTGATAATCTTTTTGCATTCTGAGCTGGGTGAGTCACATCTTTGGTCCTTTCAGGGCCACATTTTCACTTTGTTTTGGAGGTCCAGTCATGCACCTGTGGTCACACACCCAGTGGGGAGCTGAGCCCAGATTCCAACCCAGGGCCTCCTCATGGTATGGCCCCAGTGCCTGGCCCAGCACCTCCAAAGGGCACACACACTCATGAGTCAATTAAAGGAGGTAGTTGGAAATGCAGCTGAGCATTTTAAAGGTTTTGAAAAGCTTTTTTTTTTCCCCCCATAGATTCCTAATTCTCTGATTTGCTAAGCAATTGACATTTTGCCAAGTTCCTCTTTCCTCTCTGGTCTGAATTACAGAGGAGGGGCTGTTTAATCGGCTTGGTAACAGTGTTAGGATTCTCCAGAGAAACAGGAGGGAGAGAGGAGATTTATTTTAAGTAACTGGCTCATGCAATTGTGGGGACTGGCAAGTCCAGCATCCGCAGGGGAAGCTGGCAGGCTGGAAACCAGGAGGCTTTCTGCGTTGTGTGTTGGGGCTGAATTCCTTCCTCTTTGAGAGACCTGTCTTTGCTCGTAAGGCCTTCCAGCGTTTGGATGGGGCCCACCTGCATGTGGAGGGTCAGTCGCTCTACCCAAAGTCTACCGATTTAAATGTTAAGGTTACCTTTAAAAGCCTTCATAGCAACATCTGGATTTGCATGAGAGCAGATACCTGGGTACCACCGTCTGCCAAGTTGACACAGGGAGTTCACTATCCAGTACCTTTTGGGTCTCTCCTAAACCTCAGAGGAAAGAAGTTTCTTCCGTTCTACTTATGACACAAGGGTATTTTTCCAGATTCACACCATCTTCTCCTGTCTGAGTTGGTGGAGAGGGGAACCTGTCCCCTGAGGGCCCAGTGTTCATCCGTGTGGATCAGGGCATGTGCAGTGGGGCCGATGCTGAGGACAGGGATAGTGTCCGCCTGTGCCCTTCCCCACTGGAAGGCAGAGCACCGGGACCGTTCTGTGTTTGCTAACTAAACAGGCTGCAGTTGTGCTGGGGAGAAGGGCGCCTCGTCACGGCGGGACTCACGGGTCGCTGCTCCTGCACGGCACTCGAGTTGTCATAACATGTGGGGTGAATCCCCTCAGCAGCAATCGGAGGTGCAATCCTCCTGTCAGGAACTTCCTCCGTACTTCATGATCTGTCCCCTGAGAGTTCTGACTCCCCCCATGACATCCCACAAAGAAGAACCAAATATGACAAGGCTGAGAAACAACTTCAGTTTCTCCTCCTCTTCTCCTCTGATGTCCTTCCTTAGCCAAAGTCTATATGTCTAGTTGCTTTGTTTTTAAAACCCTAAATTGAGTGCCGTTAAGATAAATGGTGCTCCTTAATAATACCAAGTAGAGTTCTTCTGTGAGGGGTGTCCCTGGCCCTAAATGAAAACACAAACACAACATTGCTGAGTGTCCCTCTTTGCACCTGGGAGAGGTACCTGAGAGTGGAAGAGATCCTGCCTGTGTGATCCCCACTGACTGACTATGACCAGAGCAAATTTGCAGGGCATCTCTGGACCTCAGCTTCCTCCTCAGTTGGAAAGAAGAGAAGGGCTGTGTTTGAGAGCATTAAATGAGAGTCACGTAGCCCCTTCCCTGGCACGCAGTAGAAAAAGCTCTTCATTCTCCTTTCTTTCCATGCATCGAGATTCCAGCAGCGTTCTTCAAGCCAGAATGGCAAAAGAGCTCCTATTTAAGTTCCACTTTCCCCTCCCTCTGTTCTCTACTAAAACGTCATCCCTGTCCATTTGGAGCATTTAACTTGGAAATTGCCTGAGGCCCAGCCATATCCCTAAGGAGCCCTGAAAAGCCTGGAGAGACAGGTATCCGTTCCCCGAGATTCTCGTGTGTCAGGCAGCCTTGGGAGACAGAATTGCTTTCAGAGAGGATGCTTCCTCAGATTGTTAGGTGACTTTGTATGAAATAAAAAAAAAGGCATTTTAGCATCTGGCAAGAGTTTACATTTTAAGAGGTGAACATGACAAGTCTGTGAATGTGAAATTTCTCGTCTTAATCTTTTGGAGCATGTGATTGCTTTACTACTAGTTTGCATAATAGAAGAATTTCATGAGAATGGGTGAAATTGGGCATTGAGCTGCCGAGCAGGAGCCTGATCATCTTAATCGAGAGCAAACGGATCCCATTTCGTAAATGGCAGCAGATTGAAATCATGGCACGTTGATAATTAGTTCCCATCTGAAAAAAAAAAATACCATTTTGATGCTTGCAAATCAAATTCGTCAGGTGCTTTATTTTCAAGCCTCATTTTTAGCTTGTCAGACCAGGCATTTCTGATGGGGTTTCATATTAAATAATAAAATGTCAGCGCTGAGAAATCACTGAAATGTTATCTTCCAGTGACAGTGTTAAGTGATAGGCCATTCTCTTAAAAAAAAAATTGCAAATTGAAATCTTAAGACTGGAGAAAATGAGACCTAGAGCTGCTGCAAACATTAGGCGTTTGTCCCTGCGCATGGGCACCGTGGAGTTTCATGTGTCCTCCATAGCATCTGAAGATGACCATTTGGAGGATAAGCACTATAGATGACCACGGCAGGAAGCAGACTTTGTGGGAAGGGACATGGTTTGCCTGAGCTCAGTGGGCCTGGCCCCTGACTGATCCACCTGAGCTTTACAGGTGGTGGCTTAACCACACTATATAAAGTGTTTAGGATACTTAAGAATTTAAGGTATTAGATTCTTAAGTTATTTAAGGTACAAAGCATAAGAATCTATCAACTTTTATTTTCGTGAATAATGCCTTCGATGCCCGTCAATTCAACCGCAGCTGGATTCCTGGACCGGACCTAGGGCAGTTGCTGATCACCATCCTTGCCAATTCTTCTTGACCAAGGGGTTGATATTAAATTACATTGTCCAGACACACAATATACTGTAAAATAAAGGATGTTTAGGTTTCTTCCAAATGAAGTGGTTTCTTTTCTAAAGGATGGTACGGGAATTTCAGATGCTATTTCTTTCTGTGGGTGAGATTTGCCTTACCCGTGGGCAGGGCTTCTGGTCTGTGTGGCCCCTAGGACACAGCTGGTGTTGCTTCCTCCTCTTATGTGCAGACTTAGCAATAGCAGCACTCTGATAGTATTTTCTGGAAACAGAATTAAGACTCAGTGATCAGGATTTTAGTAGCAATTGAGTAACAATAAGGAAACTAGCATACCCACAGAGCTCTGAAGACACAGCTCTCTGATGAGTGCCTAGATGTATTTAGATTCCTTGGAAAGTGTAGTGGACAACTTCATCTGTTACTCACCAGGGAACTTGATCTGGCTCACCAAGATGAAGACAAACACGGCCTCCTGATCTGCATATCACCTTGAGAGTGGATGGTATAGAACATACCATCTCTTTCCCCCAGATCCGAGACCTGCTTCATACCCTTCCTTGTTTTATCCTCCAAAATATGATGCCTACTTTCACCATCTGGATCCCCCCAGGAAATCCTGTTTACCTAGATATATCAATTTCCAGGGAGGTTTGCTTTAGTTTTTATAATCTGTATTCTACCTCAGAAAGAGTTCACATCTCTGTGTGGATATCATGATGACTGAAAGAACTGAGAAAGAGAAGGGCAGCCGCTAACAGAGTATCTCCTGTGGAACAGAAGGACATAGACTACCTCCTAGATCACCAATACTGGACATAATCACTCAGAGGCCCTGACAAAGTCAGACAAAACAAGACCACTTCATAATTTTGTCCAAGACAAAGATCACCATGTAACCCATAAACTCTAAACATTTCTCCTTTTTTTTTTTTTTGCATCTAGTGAATTGGTCGCTGTTTCATTACCAGCCTTGTCTGGCCAGATACCCCCAAACATAGAATTGCTCCTGCATTCGGACAGCATCCACTTTGGCATGAATCCTCCCTAAATCGCCCATAAGGAGTTCAAATTCTATAATAAATCCTATCTAACATTTTCTGGCTGAGCTATTCCATGGTTCCTCATTGTGTCATTCAACTTGACCAACTCCAAGTGTGTCTATGGTAGCATTTTGTTGAAGGGCATGGACAAAACTTAATTGATAACAATGCTCTAATTACTGAGGTAGGCAATTGATTGAATTTCCATATCGACATCAGTTCGACCGGAGTTTCTAATCAATTAGACATTGAGATCCAGTTGGCTGCAGGACAAGATGCTTTAGATGCTGTAATGAGTAGTGAGTCTGAAATGCTCGTTAGGGCAGATTGAGGAGCAATGTAGATGCTAAGGAGTTTGGACAGTGAACACTTGGAGAGTTTTTTTTAGAGGGTATGTGTGAAGAGATGTGTGTTTTAGATCATTCTCCTGGTTTTTGGTATATAGCACAGTCAAGAAGAGTCTAGAAGACAGGAACTTTTGGCAAATGGAGGTAAAGACTTGCACTTGTGCAGTGGGCATTGAAAGGATGGTTCAGACACTTATGTGAGGAAGCGATTATAAGAGTTTTGCTGTGAGAAGGAAACAAAGGTGCGAATGGAATCAGTGGGTCCCTAAAGCTTTTTCTTGGGTAACTCAGAAACTATGCAAAAGGATCCTTTTTGTAATAATAAAAAAGACTCTTTTTATTCTTTTGGGTATAGCAGGCCAAGTGAGGCCGATGCTGCACCACACAGTTGGGCTAGGACTTGGGGATGAGGTGAAACCAGGGAAATAAGAATGGACTTCCTGTGGACTGGGTGCTACAGAAAGTCATGGCAGCTGTTAAGAGAGAAGAAGGTGAGAGAACCCACTCAGACACAGTCATCGGATCCTTGCAAAGTAGCTGAGAACGTCCACTCGAGAAAGGACAACCTTTCTGACAAGTGGTGCTGGGAAAACTGGATATTCATAAGCAGAAAAAATGAAAATCGGTCACTATGTTTCACCCTGGACAGAGATCAGCTCAAAATGGATCAAAGACCTCGTGATTAGACCAGGATCTATGCTACTTCTAGAAGAAAATGTAGGGTCCACACTCAGCTTATAGGCCCAGGTAATGACTTTCTCAATGAGACCCCTAAAGCTCAGAGAGTAATGACAGAAATTAATAAGTGGGATTGTATCAAATTGAAAAGCTTCTGCACAGACAAAGAAACAAGACTGTGAAGAGAGAACCTACAGAATGGGAGACATTTTTTTTCTAGCTACTCTTTTAGCAGAGGATTAATATGCAGAATATATAAAGAACTCAAAAAACTTAACGTCAAAAAATCCCCAAAGTAATAAATGGGTAAATGAACTAAATAGACACTTCTCAAAAGAAGAAATACAAATGGCCAATAAATATACAAAATGGTCAATATTGTTAGCAATTTGGGAAATACAAATCAAACTGCACTAAGATTTCATTTCACTCTAGTCAGGATGGCAGCCATCAGGAATATCCACAAGAATAAGTACTGAAGAGGATGCAAAGGAAAAGGAACACTTTTACATTGTTGGTGGAACTATAAATTAGTACAATCACCTCTGGAAATCAATATGGAGGTTCCTCAAAAGTCTAGGAATGGAACCACCATATGACCCAGCTATACCACTCCTCAGTATTTGTCCTAAAGAATTAAAATCGGCATACTATAGTGATATAGTATGCTATATCATGTTTATATCAGCACAATTCCCAATAGCCAAACTATGGAACCAGCCTAGGTGCCTATCAATAGATAAATGAATAAAGAAAATGTAGTATATATACATAATGGAGTTTTATTCAGCCACAAAGAAGAATTAAATTATGTCATTTGCAAAAGAAAAAATAGTTGGAATTTGAGAACATTATATTAATTGAAATAATCCAAACCCAGAAAGTCAAGGATAATATGTTTTCTCTTATATGTGGAAAATAAAGAGGAAAAAGGAAAAGAAAGGTGGGGGTAGGGGAAACCTCATGACAATCAAAGGGAGAAGCCTAGAGAAAATGGATGAGGGGGAGGGAAATGGGAAAATACTGGGGAATGATATTGGCCGAGCTGCGTTGTCATATGCGTTCATGTACAAATACATAACAAAGAATTCCACCATTATGTATCAGTGTAACGCTCCAATAAAAATATGGGAAAAGAGATAGCTGAAGGTGAGCATATGAGAGAAAGCGGGGAATTGGGGAGACCGTTAGAGAGCTCTGCATGGAAGCAGCAGCTGAAGGTGGTCGAGAAGCCCTTGTCGACGGGGTGGGAGGGTCACGGAGAGAGGGGAGGGCAGGGCACGGGCACCAGTGTGTGCTGGGGAGGATGGGAAGGCACTTCTGTGTGAGCAGCTCGCCCTGTGGGGGCTTCAAAACCACAGTCATTCGTATCTGTGACCTTTGACGACTTCCTTAGGCTGACAGCCTGAGGGGCTCACCCAAGGACACTGGTGAGGAGTCAAGGGAGACCACCTGGAGGAGCATGTGGGATTTTTATGGGATTCCCTCTGTTAACAAGCTACTCCAAGGCCGCTTGCTTTCTGACCTTGTCGGAATGGCTGATCCATGTGTACGAAAGTGTTCATGAACTGGCCTTTACTTAAAAGGGATTCTGCCCTCACTGCTCCCCAGCTTCCTCTCAAAATTCAAATCATTCACGACTCACTCTTGGCTGGACTAATGTTGAAAAGGCGTGAGATCTACCTGCCCAAAATAGGAGTTGGCGTTGCCTGTGAGGACAGCAGAAGTCACCTCCCGTCGTCTCCCCTGGAATGGAAGTTGGAAATGGCAGCTGGTGACAGGTGATGTTGCTGACCAGTGCTTGTCTAGGACAGCTCTATCTGCCAACATGGGATTCCAGGAAATTCTCATCAAGCCTGTGGCCCTGGAGGCCAGATGGAGACTTGTCTAAACTGTTTTGTAACTAAGCCATCAACTCCTGTCTTGCTTTGTGGTTGGAAGTTATTATTAAGCAGTCACTACTGTTTTCTGACTGCTGGAGAGTGTCTGAGAACCCGGGATTCAGAACTGAAACCCTCCTGCAGGCTCTGCCTCCTCCCTGGTGTGATGGGCGGGGCCTGGATTCTCAGGTGAGAAGAGCCTCCAGAGCCCCAGCTGTACCTGTGAGCAGCTGTGAGTCAGCCTCTGTTGGCTGCTTTCCTCTTCTGTAAAATGGGGATAAACATGAACATCCAAGCAGATGACACAGACGTCATTGACTTTGAAATCTACGAACTGGTGGCGGGGCCGTGCAGCTATCAGGCATTTCTTTTCCTGGGAAAGACCATTGAGGAAATTATTAAATCTGGGCTCTGATTATCTTCTTCTGAGGTTCTAGGTTAGCGCTGGGGTGGCCGTGGGATCAAGCTTCACAGCCGTCGTGGGCATTCTTAGGTGATCCGCACACACGTCGCTTTGTGAGGGATGGGGAGGTTGCTGGCTGCCATCACAGCTCTTTGTGACTCTAGTCAGAGATAATTAAGGGACAGGTGAGCGGCAAGTCTCAACTAGACTGGCTTCCTGAGTGACCAGAGTCCTCACCCAGTGGGACCCGGGGTCATCGTCATTCTCTGCCATGACAAGGAGCTGGTTACGGGTGGAGCCTGGATCCCACCCAGGCAGGCAGGATCCAGAGCCTCTGTTGCCTTTGAGCAGATAGGAAATGGGGTCAAACTGTGACCATCACTCTCCAAGGGACTGAAAAATGAAGATGTGAATCACATTTACTCAGTGCTAGTTGTCTTAATAGCCAGCTCAAATTCACACCTTAAGTTGAGATCATCACCCACATTGACTGCACTCTGTTGACCCGGGGCGTGACCTGATCCAGGCGGCTTTGCTTCTGGTAGCTCCCATCCCTGAGAACCTACGACGTCTAGACTCTGCCAAATGCTGAACGTCTTTTCTCTTACTTGTTCCTCAGGGCTTGAGGCATAGCTCAGTGGTAGAGCGCTTGCCTCGCCTGTGAGGACCTGGGTTCAATCTGTCCCAACAGGCAACAAACACCACTCTTAGTACTCCTATCCTTCCACTTAAGGTTGAGGAAAGTGGAGCATTGAGAGTTCAAACAGCAGGAGGTGGAGGTGATGGGGGACCAGTTTTAACCTGGATTTGCCTGACATTCAAGCCCCTGCTCTTGACCAAGAGGCTGGACTTTTGGAAGCCTAGTTGTGGCCTCCCATGTCAGGTGTGACCCTGTCCTCTCGCTTGTGGTTGGACCAATCAGGAGAACAAACTTTCAGACTCGCCTGTCTCAGGAGTGCTCCTGAGCATGGGATGCCAGCTGCAGAGGTGGTCTTGATTGTCACTTGGTGAATGGCTTTTCACCAATAGAAGCTTCTCGGTTCCCGGAACAGAGGAGTTCAACTCACATCGGAGGGAGTGGAACGGCTTGAGAGCAGGTAGACCCCTTCTGCCTTGGCCTTACCCTGAAGATTCAGCAATCTGCTACTTTGAGACTGTTGCTGAGGGCTACCTGCAAATGATTTCACTTGACCTGGATGCACTTAATTAAAGAAACTGCTCTTCCTGTGACTCCAAGGAGAAAGGCAGTCACAGCCATGACAGATGAGCTGCCCTGCAGGTTGGGTAGGTTCTCTTGATTGGCACTTCTCACTTCTGGGGTCCCCAGTGGCTACTAGCAATTTTTCTTGCCCCAGAATTCCTAAAAGCCTCCTGCACTGATTGCTCTATGCCAGGGACTCCTTTGCTCTTGTTTCTCTTCACCTGGCTCTGGAAATATCATAGTTTGAAATGTTCTTTCCTCTTCATCTTTGACTTTTGTGTTTTTAGTTCTCTGCCTTGGGGTAGTCTGATGTCACGCACTGTCAGTAGCACACCTTCCCAGGAGGCTGGCTCAGTGACAAGACTGAGGTATCCACTGGGCCTCAGAACTTGGGGATTGGAAACCTGTAACCACGTGCCCTCATAGGTGGTGTCTGAGAGACGTTGTGACTGATGGAAGACGGCGTCCTAACTCCAGTTAGACAACCAGGATATCTTTGGCTGCGAGACCTATTTTTTTTTCTTTCTGGGCTTCTTGCCTTCAG